TTTATCTCTTATCAGTGGTTTGGCTTTGTGAATGAGCAATTCAGAGGCAACTGTATAATTTTAAATTCCGATTACCACAAAGAAAGAGATCCATCTGACATCCCAGTGCAGTAGCTTTGACTATTTTAATGGAAATACGTTGGAACTGGCGGAACCTTCCACCAAGGAGAAAGTGATGAAAGACAGCAAGAGACATTTTAACTTTGAGATAAAAAGCCTGTTTTCTAAGGTTGTTTCTTTCATTATAATCCTCCCCCCAGTCTACTACTGGTACACCATGCACATGTATCATTCAAATAATTTGTCTTTATCCTCTTTTGTCTAAGATTTCAGCTGGCAGGAAGGAGGAGGAGAACTGGTTTTGTTTACAACTTATTTAAAGATTTTTTCACTTTTCTGAGAGCCTTAAAAAAGAGGATCATGGGCTTAAATGGATCCTTCTACCTCGCTGGTCTAAATTTCATGCAATCTTTTGCCTGAAGGTAAACAAAAGCAAGATAGTCTCATTGTGCCACCAATGTAATCTTCTTCCAGCTGTGTCCATATACTAGGATGATCGATGGAGATTAGAAATGGCAGTCATTTTCATTTAAAAAAATTATTCCTGCTCATTGTGGATACTTATATTTGGAAAGGGTCACTGTTAACTGATGCTGTTTTAACAACACTTGAGCATAAAGACCTTATTAGCAAAAGGGATGCTGATCGAGGAGGAAAATCCCTGCCAGGACCCTGGCTCAGCACACTGAAGGACAGAGATGTGTGAGTCCAAAACAGGTCCTTTTTTGCATCCCTCTACACCAAGGAATAAAAACCTACAGCTTAGGAAATCAAAGTAAAGTGGGCACTAATCTGGTTCCTCCCAGCGATGGCTTTGTAAAAATAATTTTACTACATTTTTCTTCACATATTTTAAGATGTTGCATCTAATACTTCTAATTATTCATTGTTGCAAGTCACTTTTGAAGCCTGGTGTGGCTGTAGGAGCATATTCACACTCTACACAAGTAACTGAGGTCACACAGGCCAAAAATGACCTGTACAGCTAAAAATACGCTCCAGAGGATGTTGAATGGCTATTTTTCTGGAACACAGGAAAGTGAGGTGGAAACTTCTATCATATAGACAGAAGAAAGGATGTTCTCAGCAAAGAGACTAAATTTAAAGCATAGGATATCCTAATTCAGTTCTTAATATACAATGATTAGGACTTAAGGAACCATCTTTCTATCAAGGTTCCTCAGAAAAAGCCTCCTGGAGGATCACAGTTTTCCTTTTTGCTCAAAGCTTCTAATTTCACCCACTCTATTCCCAATAAATCCTCTGATCCAGCATCTCCCTGTTGGGTAGGTTATTTTGTGTAGTGTAAGCAAAAGCTCCTTTCCTAAAATACTTTGCCAGCTCTGTATATTCCTACGCCTACCTGGAAACGTAGGTGTACTCTTTGCTATGGGGAATCTGCTTTCTCTGCTGCTGTGTGGAACACAAACCACCATTGACCCATAGCTCAGGGTCAACAAACTTTCCTCGTAGAGGGCCAAACAGTAATAATTATGCGTGTGGGCCTTGCAGTCTGCGGCACAACTGCTACATCGCAAGGTTGCAGAACGAAGAAAGGGTGTGGCTGTGCAACAGTAAAATATATTCCTGAAAATGGGTGCTGGCAGCAGATTTGGTCTCCAGCTCCCAGTTTGCTGATCCTTGCTCTCGGGTCAAACCTTGAGAACTCTTTGGTCTATCACTGCTGGGTGTACATTGGAAATTATCCCAAGGGAAAATGACCTCAAGGGAGTTAAAAGCAAATTCAAGGTTATAAACTCTTTCTCTTGGGTAGTGTAATTATAACGCCACACATCATGTTTCCATGTAGGTAGGCACCGTCATGAGGCTTTCAAACACTTTCATTATACTCAAGTAGTTTGCCAAGATGGAAATTTTATCCCTTATTGAGCCTATATTAAATAGAACTAAATGCAAAACATATTTGGAGATCAATTTTTAATTTATAAAAAAATTTCTGATGAATATTAGCATCCTAGAACTTCTATTATATTGAAGATTCATTTGGACTCTTATATCACCAGCTGCTTAATGTACCCAAACGTGTGAGTGTCTACAAGATATTATATACTGCATAAACATTAGAATCTCCTTTTAAAAAATTAGGGGTTAGCAGATTTTAATGTAAAAGGTGTTTTTCCAGAATTCAGGGAAAACTCGCTTGACCCTGGACAGGTATTCTGGTTGGAAAATACTAGGTGAAAAAAGTGTACACTGAAGAACTTAGACTATATTTTATCACTTTCCAAAGTCTGAACTGAAATTCATGAACTTCACCCATACCAGAGTTTCTACTTATTACCTTATATATGATGGTCATTAAGCATAAGTAAAAGCCAGAATTTTCTATCAGGTGTCCCCCCAAAGGTGGACATTTCATTTATAATCTTGATTGCTATGGTTATATTTATTGTATTTATGATGTGACCAATTTTAGGATTAAATTTCAGAAGTGGGATCATACCATTTTTAGGAGAGGTCATAAAACTCCCAAGGTGCTGACATCAGACTTTTGTCATCATTAGAACAAAATCAGAGGAAAGTAGTCCACGGAACTTTTTGTTTTCTCATTGTCCATATGTGAGATGACAAAATGCGAGATAGTCTGCTTAAAAACAAAACAAAACAAAACAAAACAAAAACCCACCTTAAGGTATTTAGCCACAAAGGACCTCAGGGTTGTCACAGTCGTTTATCAGAATGATATGGGGTAGGTGTTCTAACAGCCAAGGGGGTCATTTTCTGGCTTGCAAAAATACCTGTGTGTGATGCATGCAGATTCTGGTAACATGAACCTAAGGATATTAGAAATACTGATCCAGAGTAACATGACGTCTTTTGTGATAGGTGTCCCTTGTTAGGTCTTAGTGCTGCAAACTAAGCAATCTTACAATCTTGCCTTAAGATTGACCAACCCAATTCTTCTGCATGAGATACTGGAGAGCCAGCGTGGAGCCTCAAAGCCAGCAAAATCACAGGTTAGGCTAGGACCTTCCCTCCCTCTCTGCCTTCTGAGTAATGCAGTGCTGTACCACACAGCTTGCTTTTTCATCCCACATGTGCAAATCAGTCAGAGGCCTGGGTGTCATCTCAGAAACATCAGACCTTTCTTCATCTCTTGGGACAAACATCCTGCTTGTGAAGTAAGAAAATTAGAACCTTGTTGAGGAAAAAATTGCCATTCAGGCCTACAAAATACCTCATTTAGGATTGTGGGGTCACTGATGTTACACGGCATCCACACAGTTACATCTCCATTCTGGTCTCCATAGAAACCACATCTGTCAACCACTAGATTTGTCTACCAGCTTTGATGCCCAGTCATAACTAAACAATTCCCCTCCAATCACTCAAAACAAACTACAGGTAACAAGATAAATAGGATGTGCTTCTCCTTGCTGAGTGCATTGACTTAAGGCGTAGGCACATTTTCCCCTCTTTGAACAGAGATGGTGTAATCCCCTGTCCCAGCACAAGAGCTGGCCAGGGTGACCCTGGAGTATGGTGATGGATGTGGAGTGATGAGAGGTAGCCGATGGTGGGAACCAGAGAGCTGCTCCTCCAGATGTGGATGTGGGGTGCTGCTGGGCCCTTGGGGGGACACAGTGATTCTGCTAAAGATAGTGATTTGGTCCACATTAACTTTCAGGGAGCAATTTTGGCAGCATTCAGGGTTTTAGATCTGCAATTCTGAGAGAATATAGCAGATTTAGGAATATATTACCAGTACTGAAAAAAAATACATATATAAGATCAAAGCCAGAGAATTTGTGCATGCCTTCAAACATACAAGGCATGGCTCTGAGTTACCTAACAATCCCAAGAAGCATATAAAAACTAATTAGGTTCTCCATGCTACTTTTAATTAGATTTCTACCTTAGAATGACTTTTCTTGGGATTGTGGTTCCACATTTGGGATTTTGATTGACCTGATCATTTTGGGAGAGAGTGTGTTGGATAAAGTCAAAACTGAGAGCATAATAGCTTTTGAACCATTTTTCCTTTGAGCAGAGACATATGGCCCTCTTATTCTTTGCTGTCAGGCCATTGAGTACCTTCCAGCCGACTGAAAAGCAGCTGTGATCCTATTACGTGCTGATTTACAACTCTTATTTTGACTGTGGGAGAATATGTGAGTATGAAATAAGTAGGCTAAGCAGTGAGCAGTTCAGAATTTGTTAAAATTCATTCTTCTCATTCAGCCAATGACAAAAGCCCCAGTAGGTTCGACTGCATATGTAGGGCAGCCATGTGGAGTTCTGATGGCTGACTTTCATGGCAATGCCTCCTCCCTAACAGGAAGGTAAAAGCTAACCAGTCTTCCTAAAGCTAAGACAGGAGGAGCACATGTCTAGGGTGTGTGTGTGCACGCGTGTGTGTATGTATGTGTGACGGTGGGGATGAACTCAGGGCTTCACACATACTAAGCACATGTTATAGGAATGAGCAGCATCCCCTGCCCAAAATGTCTTATTTTTGATACACAGATCTCAGTGCTTGAGCATGACTTGGAGATTCCCACCATTGCTGCCTTAACTGACACTGAAGGAGAAGATATGCTGTTGCTTGAACAAGTTGATGAATGTTGTCAGTGCACAGTGTGATTCCTAATGGTCCAGGGCAGCAGTGGCGAACCCATGGCACGTGTGCCACACTGGGCTGTTTGTGTCACTGACAGCTCTAAAAGGTTCGCCATCACTGGCCTAAGGAATAGTCTGAAGTAGTGTTTAGACTTTGTCTCAGAGACAGTGGTGATGGGATGGAAAATGATGGTGGGTATCCCAGGGTCACCCATGGTTCCTTTTGTACTGAAACCTCATTTTATACAGAGGATATATATATATATTT